TGGCTGAGCTGGTCGACGAGTTTGGTCGACCTGCACGGGGCCACTGCGAAGCCGTCGACTATGGGACGCCAGCGGCCGACTTCTACTTGCGGTCAACGATGGGGCTCGTCGACCTGGGAAGGGCGCCGACTTGGAGCGCGCCGACTTTGGGAGGTCAACGTGGGCGGTCGACGTGGGAGGGCGTCGACTTGGTGACGCCGACCTGGGGAAGCCGGCTGGGTGCAATCGGCGACCGGTAGGCCTGGTCAACCAGAAATGGTAGACCTGGGGGAGTCTCTGACTTCGTGGAGTCGAGGGAAGGTGGTCGTTGACCTGGGTGGTCGTCAGACATGAGGGGAAGCAACTGGTCGACGTGGTTGCCCAGTGGACCAGGTTACCCGGGCGACGGGGATCTGCGGAGGTGCGCGACAGTCGCCAGGTGGTTATTGCAAAGCCGACCTCTGAGGTGGTATTCTGAGGTCGACGTTGCTAATCAGACGCAGGCGTCAGCACGTGGACGACTTCGCGTCTGCGCGGTGCACAGGACCGGGCACAGCACGCCAATTATCTGCGAGCACCTGCGAAACGGGTGCGCTGCTGTCATGTGGGTGCAACGCTGTACAACCGTCTTTCTGCACTGTTGCACGCCTTCGACTTGCAGTGTTGGCAGGCCACCACTTTGTACTACTGAAGTGCGGTCGACCTTGATGCAATAGAACGGGGTTGTCCGTGCTGCGCTGGCAGTCGACCTGCTTGCTTGCTAGCATCTGATGTAGTCCCTTATTGCTTTGCTTGTTCAACCATTGTTCACAACTTTCTCTAGTGAAACTCTTGCAGTTTTTTACCGTGAACACTCAAGTGCCAGAAAAGCTAAGAAACGCTACGGTCACTTAAGAAACCATGCCTTCCCGTAGTCTAGCTCCCTTTGTAGTAGTTCTTGCCGCAGTTACTGCTGTGAGAATCCCATAGTTGGGATGATATGTGAACCCAAGAGTTGTTTCATTAGAATGATAAAGGAGCATACATAGTGATTGGAAGGGGAGCTTGGAGGGGAAGAGATTTGGGTGGTGGTGGTTGGGAAGCCCTATCCCAGGTGGGGTGGAAGGGCACCCCAACTTGCAACCTACCCTGGGGACCATTGGGTTGGGTTGGCAACATTTGGGGAAGTGTTGCTAACCTATGGCCCATTAGGTTGGAATGGCAACTTTCCCCAAATGTTGGGTGTAGTCTCGACCCAACTGTACACCACACTTGGTGTACAGTCACAATAGGCTTAGCATGCTATAATATGATTCTAACAACTGCACTTTGCAGCACAGTGTGACTACGAGCTGCACTCGCTCGACTTCTCGACAGCTTTCTTGCACGGCAGCCTCAACGAGGAGATCTGGTTGCACCGCCCACCTTGCTGCATTGGGTCGTTTCCTGAGGGTACACAGTGGAGGCTCTAGCGGCCAATCTACGGTCTCCGTCAGGCGCCCGGCGAGTGTTACGACACACTAAGGACGACAATTGCGGCTCTTGGCTTTGCTCCTTCGACGGCCGGCCCGTCGATGTTTCTGCGTACCAACACTACTTTGCCGCCATTCTACATCCTCATGTACGTCAATGACCTGGTCTTTGTGACTGCTGACACTGAGGCACCAGCCCTTGTAAAGGCGGAGCTGCAGAAGTGGCACACCTGCACTGACCTGGGTGAGTTGCGGAGCAATCTTGGCTTGCAGATTACCCGGGACAGAGCAGCACGCACCATCACTCTAACTCACTCACACATGGTGCAGCAGGTCCTTCAGCGCTTCCGCTTTCAGCTCTCCTTGCCACAGTCCACGCCTCTGCCTACGGGCCACTCACTCTCAGCTCCACCTTCAGACAAGTCCGTAGAGCCGAGTAGTTCGTATCCAGAGCTTGTGGGGCCGGTTGATCGGGTTGCTGAGCGGTTTCAGGGTTAACACTCTTTAGTTGCTGAATTCCTAATCCAGTATAGAAATCCGCTGTATGAGTTGCTCCAGCAGCGCATTGCTGACGGTGGTAGTTCTGTCAGAGGTCCACTGGTGATCCCCGATTGATCCTAGGGAAGGGTTACAGGCACGTTGGTCTGGGGGGTTATGCGCGCACTTACCCGCTACACAAACAAGCCCTTTTATCCCAATGGTCTAGTGGTTGGGATTCTGACATGGTATCAGAGCGAAGGTCTCGGGTTCGAATCCCGGTGTGTGCACTTCGGGCATCCCAGTGCGGGGGGGTGTCAGAGGTCCACTGGTGATCCCCGATTGATCCTAGGGAAGGGTTACAGGCACGTTGGTCTGGGGGGTTATGGGCGCACTTACCCGCTACACAAACAAGCCCTTTTATCCCAATGGTCTAGTGGTTGGGATTCTGACAAGTTCCCACGGAGTTCGCGGTAGGGTTGGCGGGGGCTTCGGCAGTGTTGGCCGCTTGTCCGCTAGACCCTCCAGCCATGTTTCGGCGGGAGCGCGTACCGAACGCCACCTTGAATTTGAATTTAAATCAAAGGTGGTGGTGCGAAGAATCCTGAGTGGCTCTCATACGATGATACAATCTGAACCGTCTTATAGGATCGGCTCAGGTTGATCGCACAGAGTGTAGCAGCGGAAGATTGCTAGGTAATGTCGGGTATAGACTCTGTCAGAAGAAGGAGATTTGAATCTCGACAGAAGTGACTAAGGGTACATTCCGCTCTGGACATGTACCCTTACAAAGTGTCTGAATCGATTGTGACGCGTACTTGCAGCATATGCTGCCATGTGTCGGATTTCCGGACCGCGCATCAAAGTCGCAAAACGTTTTTTCGATTGGCTGGCGTGAACCACGGACTGTCGCGGGCTTATTGAACACCATCATCACAATGATCTGCCATCGCACGCGGTTCCAAAGGTCTATCCCCTCTGCATGTACCTGGTCATGATTTTACTGTTCGTTTTTTCCCATCCAACGCGTACACTGAAGCGTAATTGGTCAATCAGGGCTTCCTCACATATCTCCCACCGTGACCCAATACACTTTCCCCAACCTTGTCACAATGAGTGGTCCATTCACGCGAAGGGCCAATCACAGCCCTTCTCGTATAATTGTCGCGCGGTCGTGCATGGTCGCAGTACATTTATTGATTGGGACATGAGGTTCCGAGACATTTAAGGGCGACTCAGGCAAAAAGTGATTCGGACACTTTCTTTGAGAAAGTGTCCAGAGCGGAATGTACCCTAATACAATGCGGTACAGGGGTTTATACAGGAATACAGTGGAATACGAAAGGTCCTGACAAGCCATGTACTCTGAGGGGGTACATTCCGCTTAGAGCTAATCTAGGTGCAGCATCGCAACCGTGCGGTTCGGTAACCGTATGTGGTCTGGTAACCGTTTGAACTTTTGCCGCGCTTTGCACTTCAAATTCTTCCTGCTTGTAACTGTCTTGATAACTGTCTCGTCGCTTGGTCTTTCGTCCTCGCTGCAGCCATCTTCGCGTTAAGGATTTGTTACTCAGGAATGTTTATTCAACTATTCCATATCGTAACAAGCTGATTGGAAGGGCGCAAGTGGGAATTTTGTAGAGTTTCAAGAAATTTTGGCGGGAGTTACATGTGTGATTATTCGTGCGTTTTTTTGCCTGTTGTTAGTGACTGAAGACGTGGCCCACTTACCAACCCCGTTAGCAAACCCGATACAGTGACCGTACGCGTGACTTTTTTACCATTCACGTTATCGAGGCCCATGTTGGTTACTTGTGACATATTTTCCCAACTCCCAATATCCAAAAAGCATGATCACTTTTTAAATTGGTTATGTGTTTTTGCTTCAGCGCGGATATCTCGTTTAAAGAACATCTTATCTGGCAATGTCCCTCACTGACTTCACCATAGCTTGACCTGCTTGTCTCTGACGCGCTGCTGTATTGAAGGACGCAAGCCGCTTTTTTCTTTGCCCAACCGACACGGCACAAGCCGAACTCGCGAGTCTGGCCAAGCCACACTTCAAACTGGGGAAAGGCTTGGTTTCGAGGCGCGACAAGAACAAAGCTCTTGGTTAGTGGCGAAGCGCGAGTCGTCAACCAATCAGTTTCGCGGCCCTACACAAGCTGAGCAGCTGAGCAAGCCCTGGGTGACTCAACGCGCAGGTGCTGAAGGCACTTACATCGGAAGTTTTCCCTTGAATCACATCCTTCACAGAACCAGGCACAACGAAACATGTGTCTAGCTCGTGTTCTAGGAGTCTTATATCGGGAGTAAGGCTGCCCAGGGTCGGCTCTGGTCCACCACTTGAACCCCAGTTATCAGTGACATGGCGCTAGCGTCCTTTCACCTGCCTGTTACCCTTTGCCTCTCATACCCATACAACCAAGGCGGCTGGCATGCGCGCCGCCCTTCAACCCATCCCACACCATAGCTTGAATGTCGCCCCCTATAGCCCTGTCCCTCACCCAACCTCGCCATAAACCCATCCCATGCCCCGCCCTTGGAGTCCCAAATTCACCGTGCCGCCCATGCGTCGCTTTCTATCTCGTAGCCAGCAGCTGAACCGCATCCACCCCACACCCACTCAAGGCGCGAGTCAACAGTAGCTCAGCCTCCACCAAGAGATTCGCCCAGGGCACAACACAACACCGTCTCACGCTTCGCTCCCATCGTAAAAAGTGCGTCTCCCGCCCCGGAGCGTGGAAGCAAGGGTTCTTGAAAGACGAGTGGCGCGTGAACCAAGGGTTTGATAGTAACCACGCAACCTGTGAATTTGAGCTGCACGCCGCAGCAGATAGTGATCCAGCGATTCACGCCCGCCGTGGCTTAGCCATTTCGCCACTGCGCTGTTGGAATTCGCAACGGAGCAAAACTAGCTCTCACATCAGTGCCCTTTGCATCCGAGGACATGCTCTCTCTATCTTGATCTGTCTTAGAATTGATTGCGAAACAGCTGAATTTCACGAGCCAGCCACCTGGGGGAAGTGACGGCACGCGAGGGATTGACGAGAGGCCCTCGTGTGTGGGAAGGCAACGGTGGGAGGAACGGATATGGGCGGTAAAGGGGAGGACGATGACGACCACAAGGGTCAGTCGCCGCCGTCACAGCAACAGCAGGCGCAGGACGCCAAGGAAAAGGCCGGGAAGAATTCGTCATGCCATTGGACCCCTGAGGTGCGCCAGTAGGTCTCGCACTGCAATCCCGCTCAACATCGCGTCGTACATGCCAGTCGAAGCTGCTAAGAGAACTCGTCCTCATACAACGGAAGGACAGTAGTCTCCTCTTAAGGCGCTTAGTGGCGTTCTCAGCGTGTGTCATGCCCGCGGCGGCTGGGCGAGGAGACAGCACGCTGGGATGAATCGTTCGGATTGGCACCTTCTTGCGCGCCCATCCTTCTCTGCCCTCGCTGCCGCCTGCCGCATTCGCGGAGCTGGATTTCTGATTTTCCGCCACGATCCTTCCAAACCCGCTGCTTTGTCTAACGCGCTGGCCGAGTGAATCCTCTTCACATTTTCCTACGCTTGCGTCCCCGCTCTCCCTCTCCGCCGCTCTCCCCTCTTGCGATGCGTGTGCAGGAGGATAAGATTCTGCTGAACCACGTGATGCGCTACGGCAGCCGCTACTGGGGGCTGCTGCAAGCCACGGGGCAGCTGCCTCAGCGGGACCAGAAGTCATGCTGCAACCGCTTCCTGCTCCTAAAAAAGTACGTCCTTCCCGCAACCGCTTCTCCTCTCCGTCGATCGCATTACACCCCTATTTCCCCCGGCTTGTCACGAAGTTTCAGTCGAGTCTCTCTCGCCTTGCATAAATTTCCTCCCCATTCACCCGACCCCTTTCTGAATTCCCTTCATTCGCTCTCTCATTCTTGTTCTCTCCCGATCTCCGCCCTGCGCGTATTCCTCCGCCAGGCGATGTCTCGGGACAACATCTGCGGTGGTCGTGGATGCTTCTCACGCCGCAGCGGCTCCCGCGCAGCCCGCCGCACAAACTCCGTCAGCACCGTCAGCGTCGCCAGCACCGTCAGCACCAGCATCACCGGCACTGCAATCAGCGCCGGTAGCATCACCGTCCCTCCCGTCTCCCACTCTCTCATCACCAGCACCCGCAGCGGTGTCAGCAGCTGTCGGATCTGCCGCCCTTACCGCCACGCGCATCCAGCCGTCAGCGCCGGCCTCGTCTCCCGCCAGTGGGCCGCGTGCGGGGTCGTCCAGTGCCGTGAGCACCAGCGGTCTCGTTCCCTTAGGATCGCCTGCTCCCGGACCCGCTTCCGTGTCGCCGCTGTCGCCGTCTCTTTCACCGTCTCCGTCAACTCTACCTGTTTCCCCAGCGCAGCCAGTAGGCCAGTCGACGACGTTAACACAACCTGACGTTCGTGCGACAGAGCAAGCAGTCGATCAATGTGCTCCCGCTGGCCATGTCCCGTCGGGAAAGGACGTTTCCTCACCGCGCGCGCTCGTAAACGCAGCGGCTGTAGGCGGAGAAGTTGCGGGTACTGCGCAGGTGCGGGTGAAAGCGGAAGAGGATTCGGCAGTGATAGCGGGAAGAACGTTGGCGGATGCGGTAGCAGAAGCAGCCGCGGCGGCACTTCCGGCGCGGAGCGGTGTTGCGTGCGGTGGCGCGGGAGTGAAGGCGGAGCAGTGCGATGCTGCCGGAGAGAGCGGGGTGTCTGCTTGTAGCGGGGATGAAGGTGTAGCAGCAGGCGGTTCTGCTGCTGCTGGACCTGCCACGGTTGCATCTACCAGCGGTGCTGGTGGCAGCGGCAGCAACGGCGGTGCGCGTATGGCGCCCGTTCTTCTCACCAGTGTCACACCGGACCTGTAAGCCCCTACTCATGCTCTTCTCTTCCATCTCCTTCCCCTCTCCTCTCTACCCCTCCACCTCTCGCCCTGTTGTCCCACCGCTTCTCACTCCTTGTCTTTCCTTGGCCTCGTCCCTCCTTCGTCCCTCCCCCGCATCTCCCTCACAGCATGTCCGCGGGGGCCGCAGTGGCCGCCGTGCCGCTGCCGTCGGTCATCGCCACGCCGTCGGAGCGCAAGCGCAACAACAAGGTCGTCGCGTGCCGCATCGCGCTGCTGCTACAGCAGGTCACCCCGCGCCCTCCCTCCGCGCCCACCGCATCCGCTGCCGGGGGGGCTTCTGCTGCGGGCGCCACTGGTGATTCTTCCGCCGCCGCGGCTGGCGGATCCGGTGATTCCGCTCCCGCGCTGGCCGCGTCTGCGCCATCGTCCATCCGCGCGTCGCCATCAGCAGTAGGGGGCCCGTCCACCTCCACGGTTGCTTCCGCTGTACCCGCTGCTTCCGCTGCCCCCGCGCCATCACCGCTAGGTTCCGCCGCGCCCGCGCTCCGCTCCGGATCTGGAGCAGCCGGACAAGGGGGGAAGTGCGTGAAGATGGAGGGTGCTGACGTGGGCAGCGGATCTTCCGCTCGTTATAATCACCACATCCCGCCTGGTCAATGTGGTCAGCAGCAGCAGCAGCAGCAGCAGCAAAATGCAGCTTTTTACCAGGGTCAACAGGAGCAACAGCATCAACAGGGCGTGTGCAGCTTCCCGAATATAGCCGCGAACCAACAGAGTGCGCACACAAGCGAGAAGGGCCGCGCGGGGACGCGCCCGGGAGCTGCGAATACCGACGACGCTACGCCGCCAGCACCGCCTTTATCCCCCGCGTTCCCCGATTCTTCCCCCGACCACCTTGTGCGCTGCCACTCCGAGCCCTGCGCCTCCGCCGTTCCGCATGCACCCGCCTCAACCGCTTCCGCCTCGCCGTTCTTTCCGCCGCAGTACCATCGTCCTTCCCCCGCTGCCAGCCTTCCCGCTTCCACCTCCCCTTACCCCTCCCGCTGCCCTGCTTCTGCCGCTGGCGCACGACTGACCGCCGCGCACTCCGCGCATGTGTCCCCGTCCGCGGGGACTTACGCTGCGACAGCCGCTGCAAGCGCGGAGAACGGTACCCCACCGGCCGCGCACCTTATTTCCCCGTTCATCCAGCCGCCCGCTACTCCCACGTTTATCCCCGCTTCCTGCCCTTCCGCCAACCGCGCGCTCTCCCCGCTCCTCCTCTCCCCGGCCGCCTTTCCGCTCGACGATCCCGCGCCCGTTTTCTCGTGCAACTTTCACCCTCCCGCCGTCACCGGCGCACGACCGCTGCCTCCGCCGCTTCCGCAATGCGCGGAGCATGCCCCCCCGGGTCATCCCCTGGGGCGGAGACCGCGCAGGCTAGCTTTCGGCGGCACTTCCGCCGCAACTCCCGGCGTCTCTTCCGCTGGACCCACTGGCCGTCCTCCCGGTGTCTCTGGTGTCGATGCTGACGTCATTACAGGCAGCAAGGCGATGGGCGGAAGAGCGGGTATCGCGCGGCGGAAGCGGCAGGCGTGCAGCAGCAGCACTGGCGGAAGCAGCAGCGTGGGGCGCGGGGATGGCGGAAACGATGCGGGTGATGTCGCGGGGCATGAGATGGCGCCGGCGGACGGCGCTGGCGCTGGTGCTGCGCGGGGAACGACGGCGGAAGCGGAGGAGGAGCAGGGAAGAGCGGACGGGGGAGAGGCGCTTGGGGATGCTGGGCGGAGCGGAAGCAGCAGCGAGCAGACCGGAGCGGGTGGTGGGGGGGAAGGGGAGTGGGAGCGAGGAGCGAGAGGCGACGTGAAGCGACACGCCGTGGAGACCGCGTCACGGCCCGGCAGCCCTTCGCACGCCCCTCTCGTTCTTCTCGCGCCGCATGGTGCCCTGCCCGCTGCCACCGCACATGCCGCTGTGGGTGGACACATGTCCTCCGCCGTCGCTGGCTCTATCACGCGCAGCCCGGGGAGCAGCGGGTCAGCGTTCTCCCCCGCCATGCGCGCACAGCAGGCGCAGCAGCAGCTGCACAGATGCGACGGATATGGAACCCATGCGCACGCGCACGCGCATGCACACACACAGGCGCTTGCGTGCGCTCACGGACAGTCGCCCATTGTTCACAACGCGCCCACGCCTTCCTTTCCTTCCCCATCGCCGGCACCCCCACCAACCTCAGCACCAATGTCCCCTAACCCCCGGCTGGGCCCTTCTCGAAGCGCGCCCGTGACGCCCGCATCAGGGTCGTCCGCCCTCGGCGCGCATCATCACCGGCAGCAGCAGCAGCAGCAGCAGGAGGAGGCGCAGCACGCGGCGCTGCACAAGAGCACGTCGGCGGACTCGTTCCTGGCGGGTATGCGCTGCCTGCTTCCCCTGGGTCGCACCACCTCGCACCGCTGGTTCGCCCCCGCCGCTGCGCCGCTCGGCGATGCGCCTCTTCCGCCACCGCAAGCGCCGCACCCCGTGGGGGGGCCTTCTAGCGTGGCGGCCGCAGCAGCGGACGACATGGCGGTGTTCTCGCTGCCCTCGCCGCACCACCCGCTTGCCGCCAGTCGCCTACGCCCCCGCGCTGCGCCGCCTCCGCCGCTCTTCCTCTCCGCCTCCTCCGCGTCCTCGCTTCAAGCGCTGGTGGAGGAATCATTCCCGGGCGGCCTGCACCCTGCTGCGCTCGCTGCCGCGGCTGCCACTGGTGCCGCTGCTGCTAATACCCCTGCCGCCACGGCCGCTGCTGGTGGCGCAGGTGCGGCACCCCCGCTGGCTGCACGCGCGAGCGGTTTCGAGGTTGCGCCTCTTGGCGCGGGCGAGCGGGAAGGCGCAGGCGCGGGCGCGGTGTGCGAGGTGATGAGCGCGGAGGACGAGGAGGCGGAGCAGGAACGCATGGCTGCGCGCACCCTACTCCGCGTGCTGGAGCTGTGGCCGCATGCCATGCTCGCATTCGGAGGGGAGGGAGATGAGGAGGAGGAGGAAGGGGAGGAGGAAGGGGATGGAGCAGGAACAAGTGCTCCGGCAACTGCTGTCACCACTACGAATGCCGCTCCCACTGCCACTGCTTGTGCCCGCTCCCCACTGTCCCGACCCATCCCTCCTGCCTTTTCAACTCTCACTTCTGCTCTTCTCGATTCCCATACTGCTGCCTGCTCCCGCACTGCTGCTTCCTATGCTGCTGCCCCTCCTGCTCCTGCTGCTACTGCAGCTGATGTCACTGCTGCTGCCAGCCCAAGTCCTGGGGGTACCGCTGCTGCGACTCCTGTGGGCACTGGCGCTACGACCAGCACTCTTGTCTCGCACAAAGAGCTCCACCAGGGAGAGGTCGTCAGCGCTCTGCACACTGCTGCTGCTGCTGCTCACGCGAGCAGCGCGGCACGGCAGGATGGCGTAGCAGTCAAGGGCGGGGAGGCACAAGGTGCAGATGGCAGTGACGGGCAGCAGCAGCAGCAGCAGCAGCAGGCTCTTGGAGGTGACTTGCACTTGGGCCGAGGTAGGGACGCAAGGAGTGGCGGGAATGGCACGGAGATGAGTGGACGGCAGGTGAAGATGCTGCCACAGCAGGCAGAGGAGGATGGCAGGCACGAGAGGCAGGTGTTGGGGCAGAAGCGCGTGAACCCGGCGCCCCTGGACCTGCCTGTTGCCAAGCGACTGGCCATGGCCACCCACATGCCCCTCCGCCATGCTGTTGCGGCTGCTGCTGCACCTGCTGCTGGGGAGGCGTCTGCCAGCACCGCTGCTGCTGCCGCCGCGGCTGCTGCTGCTTTGGGGCTTTCAGCTGCTACGGCTGTGGATAATTCTCACAGTGGTGGTGGTGGTGCTGTGAATGCGCTGGTTGCGAATGGCAGCAGTGGCCAGGTTGGTTCAGGATGGGGGGTGGAGGAAGAGGACAGCGAAGAGGAGACAGCTGTCCCCATCCATCAGCAGCACCACCACACAACACCTGCTCTTGCAGCGTTTACAACCAGTGCTACAGCCGGCACTGGCGGCACTAGCATGGGAACAGCAGCACACACGGCCGCAAGTCATGAAGCATCAGCTGTGGCAGGCAGCAGCAAGTTGGCGAGGGGCGCGTGTGGCAACAGCAGTAGCAGCAGCAGCAGCAGCAGCAGTGCCGGGGCGGGGAGCGGAGTGAGTGAGAGTGTGATGGAGTACCTGCAGACCATGGACGACCTCCCAGGCGCGTCCGTGCTGCTGCTGGACAAGACCAGTGACTCAGACAGTGACCACCATGGTGCCCTGCCGGGCAGCGGTGCCGTGGGCGGCGAGGCAGCTGGAGGGGGACTCCA